TCAGTACAACTGTTCACAGTGAATGTGAAGGTTTTTGCAAACGCACTTCCTGGCAAATCTCTTCAGTAGAGCAATCATCCTACGAGAAACAACCAAGTTGAAGCACATCATTGCCCACAAACCACCCTGCCCCTGTTATATACTACAACATATACTACTACAACAGATCCATGAACTGGAGTAACGTTATGACCCCTTCAAACAGCTGGGAGGAGCCTAGGCAGAAATGCAGTAAAGAGATGCTCTTTTTCGTTGTTGTCCTGGATTGAGAGATAGATGGCAGATTGGTCGGACATGTGAAATCAACTATTTAGAGGAGTTGGAACAATACGTGCCCGCCGCCGGTTGCAAACTCTTGGAGGTACGTTGGAAGGGAAAATTATTTTCAAGCAAAGTGTGCGTAGTATGAGGGTAGTCTTCCCCATTCCCAACTTGTGACTTGTACCATATTGATCAGTAATGTTTGGCTGACAAGACATTATGATTTGCTTGCCAAACTTACATTACCTTAAATAATTAAAGTGGGAGGAATGAAGTCTACTGACCCCTAATTCTGCTGCTCCCTCCTTCCTGCCCAGAGGACACCAAGGTTTACATTATAATCAATATAGCGGGGATCATATGGGGGCAATGATCTTAAATAAATTCAAGAAAGCTTATCCTCATCTTGTCTATTTTTGGCTTACATATTACTGCCTCATTCAAACAGTTTTTTGCTACCAGCTGAATAGTAAATCCAATCATGTCCATACAGTTTACAGGAATCGCTATACTAACCTTTCATACTTCTCATTTGCCATAAATGTTAATTGATGTGACATTGTCTCAGTAAAACACAGTTTTATTTTCATATATTAAAACGTTGCCTTCTTACACTCACCTCGCCTTGGATATGCCCTCTGAGTGCCCATGTATTGCAAAAGTTTTCAAGGACAGATCTTTGTCTCAGGTAGGCTAACGCAACCAATACCAATGTCTTGACAATCCATGTTTTTTATCACGGACAGAAGCACTTATTTAGAAAACCATGCAAACTCGGGAGCTTATCACTGCATGGAGACCACTGGGCGATGGTCTTTACGTAGGCAGGTGAATCGCACGGACACTGTTGACCATCTAGATTGGTGAGGTCTACAATCCAGAAGCTGACTCCTGGACTGCCTTTACTCACTGCCAGTGCCGCGTAGGAGCAGGGAAAGTGCAATTTTGGAGGGAAAGTTGTATGGTGCTGGTGGTACAGCCGGGAGGACTTCAGTGACACACAAGTAGTCCATGTTATGATCCCACCACACAGAGATGGGAGACATGGGCAAGATGGCCTGGGCCGATAATGACATACAGCATCTGGTGCTGTGTTTGCCTTCACATTTCGATTGTCAAACTTGTGGTGTGTTTATTTCTTTAAGGTTCTGAAGGCGAGGTTCTTGAGCTTTGGGAGGCGAGATCTAAGCTAATTAGGTTTATGGCTGTTTCGAACTGGTTGAGCACAGGGAGTTATTGTTACGTTTATTCATTAATGATCTATGATTGGTAGTAGGGCTGACAGGTGGATGTCGGTTATGAATGTGTATTTTTAGTTTATGTGTGTTAAGCCCAAGTGCATGATAGAATTTTGGATTATTGACCGACAGGTGGTGTGTTGTGTTTGGCTCTTTGGATGATCATTTAATCAATTGGTGTATTGATTTTGATTAGTGCGAACTTAGACTCCGATTGCGAGCATGAGATAACACTAGGAGGACCTGAGTCACAGTATCAGGGAATCTTCTACTTGTTTTGGTCTTGTTTTGAAATACAGAGCAGAAGCTATTTAGGTGTCTCTAGTACTTTTAGCCATAGGAAAAAATAGAATTGTTAACGTTCTTCAGCACATTCCGAACAGGGCCACACACGTGCTGGAGGGCCCTTACCTTGTGTAGTGTTGGGTCATAACCACTGCAGTGTGTTTGGGAGAAGAAAACCCCCCCTTTTTTTTTTTTTGGCGGAAAACCAGGGTCTTTTCTGTGC